GCTCATCACTCCAAACAGGAACCTTGTACCCACTAAGAACTCACTGCTCATTCTTCTCTCCCTCCAGCCTTGGCCACCACCATTCTGATCTCTAGCTCTCTGGATTTGCCTATTCTGGATATTTCATACAAATCGAATCATCACACATGTGGTCCCTTGTGTTTGACTTCTTTCACTTAGCACAATGTTTTCAAGGTTTATCCATGTTGTATGAGAACTTCATTCCTGCCTACGGTTGAATAATATCCATAATATGTATAGATCACTTTTATCCATTCATCTGTTGATGGACGTTTGGGTGGCTTCTACTTTCTGGCAATTGCAAATAATACTGCTGTGAACATTCAAGTACAAGTTTTTGCTTGAACACTGTTTTCAGTTCTTTTGGGTATAGACCTAGAGTGGAATTTGATATTTCTATGATTAACTTTTCGAGGAACTGCCAAGCTGATTTTCACAGTGGGTGCAACATTTCCTGTTCCCACCAGTGATACAGGAGTTTCCGGTTTCTTCAAATCCACACCAACACTTGTTACTTTTCGTTCTCTTTGGTTATCAATATCCTGGTGGGTGTGAAGTGGTGTGTCACTGTGGGTTTGATTTACATTTCCATAATGACTGAAGACATTGAGCTTCTTTTCACGTGCTTGTCAGCCATTTGTACATTTTTGGAAGGAATGACGTGTTAGTAATGACCTCCACCCAATCACAGTTAGCGAGGGATGGGTGGGGCTTGAATGAAGACAAAAATGAAGGCCCTGCTACCCAAGTCATCATCTGAGGACTACCTGGGCTCAAACAGACATTTCATAGTTTAGGAAAGATACACAGTTGGTCCTGAAGCCTCTAACTCTAAAGGAGGTCAGCAAGGATCAGCCTTCATGGCTCTTGTATGTCTCACAGGTGGAAAATTTTGCTGAAGCTGATGCTTCATGACCTAAGCATGTTAGACTCCTTGGTCCATGTTCCCCAAGAAGGAAAATGGACCTGACTTCAACTGATAAAGCACACAGTGGGGGAAAGGAAGCCAAAGTGACCCTGTTGGGTAGGGGCCTTTGGGCCAATTCAATGTGCCGTTTTGGCTTCTATTAAATGTATAATTGATGTTTCGTGTGTCCATACCGTGAATGTCCTCTAAGTGTCGGGATTCTCCCATCCAGAGACTGGAGCATGTGTAGTCCTCTCCAGGACAGTGTACAGAAACAACAGTATCCCAAAAGGAGAAAGGGAAATCACAGTTTTCGTGACTTCATGGCAGCTGCGGGACCCAGGGAGGCCCTTTCCCAGTACAACAGCGCCACCTGCTGACACAACCACCGTAAACACATTTTATGAAAAGGCAGCTATTAATTTGCTATTCAGCTCTCCTTGAAAGAGGAGGCCCCACCCATGGAGGCCTCCTGACTCTCTAGCCTTACATCTTCATTCTGGGGTCAGTCAACTTGAACTTGACAACCAGTAAGGTCTGAAATGGTTAAATGTAAATGGTATATTCAAGAGCACGGCCGCCCTGGTCCTCATGTTAATCTGTTTTGGAATGGGAAAGTGGCAGGAACCCATCACAAGGAACTATCCCCCACTCCACTGCCTAAAGCAAAGCCACGGGCTCCATGGGGCCTTCAATTTACAAAGGTTCCCCTAAACAACGGGGCCGTTCATTGCTGGTTGGGCGAAGTTAAAGGCTGGTACCCCAAAGCCAACCCTGGAAGACAGACTGAAGCTTATAGTTAAGGTTTTGGATGGGACTTTCTATTTTCCCTACTCTCCACAAGCATCTGGTATTATTGATTGTTGGAATAGTTTCCTCAAAAATCCATTCAGAATATATTTCTACCTTTCTCACGTCCTGGTCCACACACCTTAGGCAGGCGGTTTGGTCACTGAATGTGGGTGTTTCCAGAGAGGCTTCATCTCTTCCAGGCTGTCTCCTGGATAATGATTGAGGCTGAAGGCGTGAGGGAAGTACAAAGATTTATTTTGAAAATTAAGGATTCTGGGTGCCTGGGTGGCTCCGTTGGTTAAGCGACTGCCTTCGACTCAGGTCATGATCCTGGAGTCCCGGGACCGAGTCCCGCATCGGGCTCCCTGCTCAGCAGGGAGTCTGCTTCTCCCTCTGACCCTCTTCCCTCTCATGCTCTCTGTCTCTCATTCTCTCTCTCTCAAATAAGTAAATAAAATCTTAAAAAAAAAAAAAGAAAGAAAAGAAAATTAAGGATTCTGGCCCCTGGCTACTCTTGGGTCACCCGTCTTTCTGCTCGACTGCCTGGGTGGCAGCCTCGCCCAAAGTGGGACAACTAGGGAGTTCAAACTAAATTCTGCTTTAGCCACCAGCATTTTCTTTTTCTTTTTTTTTTTTTTTTAAGATTTTATTTATTTGAGAGAGAGAGAGAATGAGAGATAGAAAGCACGAGAGGGAAGAGGGTCAGAGGGAGAAGCAGACTCCCTGCAGCCACCAGCATTTTCTTGTTGGCCTGACACAGCCCCAGATCAGGGGTTGGCAAACTATAGCCTGTGGGATATTCTGGCCCTTGAGCTAAGAACGATATTTACATTTTTAAAGAGTTATAAAAAACAAATAACAAAAAATGTACTATAGAGACCATATGTCCTGCAAAGCCAAAAATAATTATTATCTAGCCCCTTATAGGAAAAGTTTGCTGACTCCTGTCTGAGCTGAAGCTACTTGCTGACTATCCATGCAGCTTAACTAAGCCAATGGAATGGCCATCCAGAGCAAGGTTAACAACAAAACCCCTCACCCATGCCACAAGACCTCATTGCAGGGGGGCCAGAGGTTTCCACTCCACATTCGCCAAGACTACCAACCTACCCGCACACAGAGGTCACCTCAAATGTCCTTGTTTTCCCCTCCAAGGTTGCAGAAGCACCTCAGATTGGGGAATGGAGGTCAGAGGCCAGCACCCTAGCCGCAAGGGTCAAGAAGTGGTTAACCTGGTATGGAAATGAAAAAGAAAAGGATCCCAGACTAGGAACCGGAAGATCTCAATTCTATTTCCACCTTAGTCGCTGACTGGTTACTTGATCTCAAGGCCATTCCTTCTCTTCTCGGAGATTCCTGCAGTACCCACCCCCCCGGTGGGTGAAGGAGCCCAGCAAAGGGCCTGTCTGCTGCCTTGTCTAAGTGTTAACCAAGGCATGGGGGCTTCTTGCAGCCCCTGGGACATTGTCCTCCACGCCAGGACTCCCCAAGCCCAACCACACACAAAAACAAAGACCCTAGAGCTAGAGCCCTACATGGTTTAAGATGCATCGTCCTCACTGGTTTTTAGCTTACCCTGCCAGACTCTCGGCATACCTGGTTTGTGGTGGCCCGTCCTGCCTCTGAGATGGGAAGTGACACAGAGGTGAGGGTGAGGGTGGGAAGGGAGACCAGGCCCTCTGCCCGCAGCTCATTTCCTGAGTTTCCTGAGCCATGTCATCCCAGACCCAGGGTCCCTGGAGAGCAAGGTGGAGGCAGGAAGCCAGGAGGTGTGAATCTCAGACGCAGGAAAGGCCTGCAAGCTTCTGCCTCTGACCTTTTCAGGGCTCTCCAGATTTGAGTTGTAGACACTATTACACTGGGGGTGCAGGAAGAAAAATTTAGAATTTCTACTTATATCTACTTTTTTAACGGAAGAAAGCAAAACAAATTAAGCTTTACTGATATTAAGTATGTAGAATGACAGTAGTTCACAAGTAGATTTTCTTCATATGTTGGGAATATTTTCTCAAAAAATTGTCACTGGTAAGGGAGTGTGATAAGGGATGTTTAGAGATCTCTGAGGTAAATAAAAGTGTGAATGGGCAGGCAGAGATTTGGGAGGTGATTTGGAACCAGAGTGGGTGGTGATGGAAGCTGGCATTGATTCTCAAGGTCATGAGCTTTGGGGACGGGGAGTTGCCCAGGAAGTCTCTAAGAGGTGTGGCTTCTAGAAGGTGCCTCCACCTCCTGAGCTGCCTTAACTCCATTTGGTGTTTGAAGAGGCAGGGTGGTTACCTATGCCCGCAGACAACCCTAATAAGCTCTAAGTTCTCCAAGACTCCTTGGTCCTGAGCCCACAGAAACCTGGTGCTTACCTCACGATGCCCAAGTGGGTGGGTGACTCTACCCCAAGTAAGAATGAAGCATGATAGCCAGAGAGGACCTACCTGCCTAGTGCTGATCTAGGCATGCTCCCCTCTTGGTAGGAGTAGTGAGATGATAATGATGAGACATATTTAGTATGGTCACCAAACCAAGTTAGATTTAAGGGTTAGCACACTTTCTGGATTGAGTAATACTGATTGCTACAAAGCTCCCCAATGGTTTGTTTCAATTCCAGAACAAGGAGGAACGTAGAAACTCTGTATCTGTGTCCCAAAGGGAGAGGGAGATCGGAGTCACCAGACTGGACACTCAGTTCACCAGAGGTTGGTGATTTGGAGGGTATATGTGTAGAAGGAGGCTGACAGAAAAAACACTGTGCCCACAGCCTGTGCATGGGGTCTCGGGATTGATTTATTGACTCAGCATTGTTACCCTAGCCCATTCTGAGAGGGTAGCCCTGGAGAAGTTAGCCAGTGATCCAGTTTGGTGGTGGAGTTTGGAGTTTGGAGTTTGGAGGGAACACTGTCTGTCTCCATGATAACTGGGAAGGCTGGGTCCTAGAAAGTGCTATGAAGCCCATCCCCATCATGCCAACATGGTACTCCCTCCTCACAGGGAGAAAGGAGGCACTAGGTCCAGCCCTGTGAACGGCTGAGTTGATTTCTTCGTCTGAATTCTCCAATCCCAGAGCAGAATGTTCCACTTAGCAGAACTGGTATTATTCCAGGAGAGGAAAGGGCTCCTGAGTTGTCCATTTCTTTCCAAGGCCAAATGAGTGGTTCCTAGGCAGAATTTCCATGTGCCCCTCCCCCTCCTTTCCTGCAGAACCAATTATTTCTGTAGCAAAACAGACACTAAGGCCACCAGTTACTGGACAGATTTGCTGCCTTGGAAAAATGGGTGGTGTCACCAGTTACTGAACAGAGTTCTCGTGCCGCTCTTCTTCTTTGGTCTCTGTGTGCTGGTCACTGTTGTCTATGGCTGTTGAGGCCGGGCTCACCTGCCTTGAGATTGGTAGGCTGACACTCCTTACAGACGATATGGATGTCACGGAGGTAATGACAGGAAGGCTGAACCAGGAAGAGCTCTGGCTGTTCCTACTCAAGGACAGGCTGAACTGCCATGGGTTCAGGTTCAGCCCCCTAATCAAGGGCAGGCTGAGCTTCTTGGAGGAGCTTTCACTGTTTCCCTCCTGGGACTTCACGTGGCGCTTAGGCAACTGTAAGGGCTTGGGGGGCACCAAGGGCATCTTTTTGGACTGTAGCTTTCCAAAGGGATCGGAAGCAATGTGGTCCTGGAGGTACCACCAGTGTTGAAGTGGGTAGACTGGGATCGGCAGGAAGGTGAGCATGCTGAGGAAGGTGACCCAGCCCAGGGTGCTCTGCAGGTAGGGCTGTTTTACCTCCTGGCTCTTGAGGCAGAGAGAAGGGAGCAGGATGGGAGGAGGTGGCGGTGAGGGGATTTCAATCCACGTGATGCTGGGGATCAGGTTCCTCAGGGACTGGGAAGCTGGCTAAAGGGTCCCTGGGAATGGAAGCCCAGACCTCGGGTCCTGTGGAATGGGAGATCAGATGAGGGGTGCCCAGAGTGGGGCGGGAGGCCAGGTAGGGGAGTCTCACCATACTGCTGTTCCAGGCAATGTAGTAGGGGGGTTCTGTCTGGTAGAGCTGCATGAGGCAGATGGTGGTCAGGGCCAGCAGCCCGGGCAGGGTCACGTAGCACCACAGGACAGTGAAGAAGGACCACAGCAGGCGGCCCAGATCACCGAATATTTCTTCTCTGACCCTGGGGTGGGGGCAATTGGTAGAGATGTCTGGAAGGAGCCCTCTTCTGGCCACCAAGGCCTGGAGCTCTTGGGAGGGTGGGTCTGCCAGACCTCTGGTTCTCCCACTAGTTCTCAACTCATAGGGGCTTACCAAGTCCTGCTGGGCCCTCCCTGAGGCTGGGACCTGCATCTGGTCTCCTCATGGGAGCCCCCTGATCCAGGGGGAGTGCTGGGCTCCAGCCCTCTGCCTTCAGACTATCCCATGTGGCCCATGGTAGGGGAAGTTGAGTCTCCTGGTTTCTGACTACTCTTTCTGTCAGGACCCACCTGGTTGCCCTCCGATCACTGCCTCCTGCACCCCAGGGCTATTAGCTAGAACCCCTGCTGTGGGATGGACAGAGGGAGCAGTTCATGCCCCCTGTCTCCTCAGAGACCTGGGATGGGTCCCTGGCTAGGCAGACCCCAGGGCTTGGACATCACCTCCTAGCTCCGTAGATCCAGGCCAGGGCCACATTCTGGAAGGCCACAATGATGGTAAGGATCAGCGGGACCAGGCAGTCATCAAACAAGGACATTATGTAGCTGCCAGAATGACCGGTGAAGACGAGGCTGCCCAGAAAACCTCCCAAGCAGACGAGCGCTGTGGCAAAGGCGGGTTTGGCCACACTGAGGTCTGTGTGTAGGGCTGGGCCAGGGGTCCAAGTGAGCCCAGGAGATTGGGGTGACCTGGGGAGAAGGCTGAGCCCCCACAGTACCGGACAGCAGCTTGGGATGCCTCCTGAAGATGGAGATGGAGTTCTGGAGGGGGTAGACAATGCCTTCCAAGATCCTTATCAAGGTGTTCAGCCCCACGATGACCAGGGCCAAGAAGAAGAGGACGGCCCAGAAGCGGGAACCAGGGAACAACGCGACGGCTTGGGAGAAGGCTGCGAATGCCAGGCCGGGGCCCTCCATGACCTGTGGGAGAGAGGGCTCTCAGGCAGCCGTGGGTCTGGATGCGGGGAATGGTGCAGTGATCGAGTAGCAATGTCTGTGTCGGACAGAGGAAAGAGACACAGAGCGGTGGGCGGATGGCAGAATGCTGAGTGTTTGCTGAGCTGGGTGAGCTTCACCTCTCGGGGCCTCAGGCTCCTCCTCCAACAAATTGGGATCCTAGGGTTGATGTGAGAATTAAAGTCAAGTGACCACTTAGCAAAGACCCTGGTACATACACAGTGGTGGCGGAGACATGACTGTAACTGTTGCCTGTGTCAGACGATGCCTGGGGTGGCCCCCAGGGTCCTCTGGGGGCCTTTGGGAAGCACCCTCCTGCCCCCACAAGCGCACCTTTTCCTTCTGTGTCTTGATGCTGCAGGACGGGGTGGAGTGGATGACCTGGTACTGGAGGTGTTGAGGGAGATGGCTGATCCACTCTAGATAGTCCAGGGCGGGCAAGAGGAGGATGTCCTCTGGCGGCTTGGCATCCTGAGGCAGCACGCCCTTTTTTATCAGTTTCATCAGCTTTGCGACGCTCCTGAACGGGAAGCAGAGGCGGGGAAAGGTGGTGACCAGGCTGACCCCCCTGCTCTCCGCAAACCAGGGCAGCTGGGGACTGGAGAAGAAAGTGAGTGGCCCGAGATGAGAGCAGCTGAGTAACAAGGGCCACTGGACATGGCCTGGAAGCTCATCATGTGGACTTGGGGTGAACTGCCCTGGGGATTCCACCTAAGGGGCAGAAGATTCTATATTTGTAGTAGCTAAGATTCCTCAGTGTTATGCAGTGAACAGTTCCCCCACCCCCGGCTAAATTCATATGTTTGAGTCCTAACCTCCCCCCCAACCCTGCTACCTCTGAATGTGAACTTCTTTGGAAATAGGGTTGTGACAGAGGTAATTAAAGATGAGATCATCCTGGGTGGCCCCTGATCCAAATGACTGGTGTCCTTACAAAAGGGGGAAATTTGGACACACACACACAGGGAGAACCCCATGTGAGGGTGAAGGCAGACACCTAAAAGCCAAGGAACACCAAAGATTGCCAGCAAACCACCAGAAGAGGCATGAGACAGATTCTCCCCCATCATCCTCAGAAAGAACCAACTCTGCCAACACACTGATCTCAGATTTCTGCCTCAGAACTGCGAGGGGATAGATTTTTGTGTTGGCCATGCAGTCTGTGGGACTTTGTGATGGCAGCCCTGGAGAATGAATACACTCAGAATTGTCTCTTTTTGGACCTAGGTTTAGAGTGCTGTGATAATCAACCCCGTTCACGATCATTCTCCTCAACCAGTAGAGCAAAGTCTGTTTAAATTTTTCCCTCCTTCGAAAGGGGAACCCTCCTACACTGTTGGTGGGAATGCAAGCTGGGGCAACCACTCTGGAAAACAGTATGGAGGTTCCTCAAACAGTTGAAAATAGAGCTACCATACGATCCAGCAATTGCACTACTGGGTATTTACCCCAAAGATACAAATGTAGGGATCCGAAGGGGTACGTGCACCTCAATGTTTATAGCAGCAATGTCCACAATAGCCAAACTGTGGAAAGAGCCAAGACGTCCATCGACAGATGAATGGATAAAGAAGATGTGGTATAGGTACACAATGGAATATTATGCAGCCATCAAAAGGAATGAGATCTTGCCATTTGCAACGACGTGGATGGAACTGGAGGGTGTTATGCTGAGTGAAATAAGTCAATCAGAGAAAGACATGTCATATGACCTCACTGATATGAGGAATTCTTAAATCTCAGGAAACTGAATGTTGCTGGAGTGGTGGGGGGGTGGGAGGGATGGGGTGGCTGGGTGATAGACATTGGGGAGGGTATGTGCTATGGTGAGCGCTGTGAATTGTACAAGACTGATGAATCACAGATCTGTACTTCTGAAAGAAATAATGCAATATATGTTAAGAAAAAAAAAAAGAAGAAGAAGATAGCAGGAGGGGAAGAATGAAGGGGAGTAAATCGGAGGGGGAGACGAACCATGAGAGACGATGGACTCTGAAAAACAAACTGAGGGTTCTAGAGGAGGGGGGTGGGGGGAGGGGTTAGCCTGGTGATGGGTATTAAAGAGGGCACGTTCTGCGTGGAGCACTGGGTGTTATGCACAAACAATGAATCATGGAACACTACATCAAAAACTAATGATGTAATGTATGGTGATGAACATAACAATAAAAAAAATTAAAAAACAAAATTTTTCCCTCCTTCAAGTCTGAATTTCACTCTTTCCTCCACGCCTACAGCTATTCACTTTCATGTGCTTGACTAATAACATTAAATACAGGTATTTCTTTGTAAAAAAAGAAATATACGGTTTTTAAAAAGATTTTATTTATTTATTTGACAGAGAGAGAGAGAGAGCACAAGCAGGAGGAATGGTAGAAGGAGAGGGAGAGGCAGACTCCCCACTGAGCAGGGAGCCCGATGTGGGGCTTGATCCCAGGACCCCGGGATCATGACCTGAGCCGAAGGCAGACTCTTAACTGACTGAGCCACCCAGGCGCCCCAAGAAATATGTTTTGCGTGTCATCACTTGAGTGTCATTGTGTTTTGGTTTTCTGTTTCTTACTTTTCTTCCCTCAGTTTTTCTGGCAATATCTCTACAGTGATGAGTTTATGTCTGGTTTGTTGTTCCTGCCTGTTGCCCTCTGCGGCATTTGCAACCCACATTTTATACTCTATTCCCCAAATAATGACCCCACTCCCTGCGATTACAAACATTGCCACAACAACCATCTATTAGCAGGGCTCTTGTGAGGACTTCTCTAGGATACACAGTTGGGAATGGGGATCACTGGTCCATAAATACTGTGCTTGCTTAATTTAAGGAAATGCTAACAGATCTCAGCTGTCTTCTGTCCTCCTGATTAGAAAACTGATAATCCATACCTCCACTTTTCCTTACCTAAAGAGAATAACCTAGAGCCTTGCTACTCTAAGTAGAAGCTCCCTGGAGGGGCAGCATCACTTGGGAACTTGGTAGAAATGCAGAATCTTGGGTGCATCCCAGACTTTCTTTTGCTCTAATGCTGATTCATAACAGTCACTGCAGTTTGAGAAGCTCTATATAATCAAGGGCAAGGAGCTCATGCGGCAGTTCTTCTAGGACCGCACTAATATGATAGCCACTAGGCACATATGGCACTAGGCACATAATTTATGTCAACTAAAATTAATTAAAATGATATAAAATGAGGGCGCCTGGGTGGCTCAGCCAGTTAAGCATCTGCCTTTGGCTCACATCATGATCCCGGGGTCCTGGGATGGAGTCCCGTATTGGGTTCCCCACTCAGCAGGGAGTCTGCTTCTCCCTCTACCCCTCTCCCCTGCTCATGATCTTTCTTTCTCTCTCAAATAGATAAATAGATAAATAAAATCTTTTAAAAATGACATAAAATGAAAAATTCAGTTCCTTGGTCACATTTGCATTATTTGGCCACATTCACCACATTTCGAATGTTCTAGCTACTTGTGGCTGGTGTCTACGATACTGGATAGTGCAGGTATAGAAGGTTTCTGGCATCACAAAGAGTTCTACTGTACAGTGCTGCCTGAAGAGCTAATGGTTCTCACTGGAATCAACCAGGAGCTTTTTTAAGAAACAAACTCAATTTTTATTGAGCTATAATTTAGAGACAATAAAAAGCAGAGATATTAAATGTACACTTCAGTGAGTATTGACAGATGACCCAATCAAGATACAGAGTATTTCCATCACTCCACAGAATTACTTTGGGCCCCTTTCCAGGGCACTCCCTCCATTCCAGAGGCCACTATGGATTTCCGTCACTACACATTCATTTTGCCTATTCCTAGATTTTGTACAGATTCATAAAGTGTGTAGTCTTTTATGTCTGGCTTGTTACATGCAATATAATGTCTGACATTCATCTATGTTGGTGCGTGTATCCACAGTTCATTTTTATTGGTAGATAGTACTCCATTGGTTGAATGAATATACGAAGATCTATTATCGGTTCACCTCCCGACAGACATTTGGGTTGCTTGGAGTTTTGGCCATTACAAATTAAGCTGAAAGCAAGATTTCCTGCCCTAATCCTCTCTCCTTTCCTCTCCTTCTGCAATTCCAATTATACATCTATTAGTCCTCTAGGTCACTGAGGCTCTTCTCCAGTTTTTCTCATTCTTCTTGTCCTCTCTGTTCTTCCCTTTGTAGAACTTCTATTTACCCTGTCCTCAAATTAACGGATCCTTTATTCTGCTGGTTCCAATCTAAACTAAATACATCAGTGAAACTTTGTCTTCATCTACTTTTTGAGTTCTAGAATTTCCATGTGGTCCTTTTTTAAATTTTCTGTATCTTCTCTAAAATATCTCCATGGCTTCCATTATATTCATCTTTTCTCTTAAATCCCTTAACATTTATAATGGTTGTTTTAAAATTCTTGTCTGCTAATTCTAATGTCTGGATGATCTTTGGGTCTTCTTTTTTCTCTTGGCTATGGATTATATGGGTTTTGGGATGTCTTGAGGGTTTTTAATTCCATGTTGGACATTGCATAAGAGAACAACAAAGGAGAAAGGTATGTTGTTTGTTTTATTTTGTGTAGTCTCAATACACTTAAGCCTTTTATTCCAACAGGCAGCTAGAATGAGGGCTATTTAAGAGTTTTCTAAGCACTGAGGCAAGCTGGGGTGGGGGACAGTTTTAATTAGTTGAGTTTTTTCTCTGCCCTCAAATGGGATTAAGGAGGGCTCACTTTGTCCTCAAGCCATGCCCCCAACTTTCTGCACAACCCCCTCCCCCCCGGCAAGGATTAATTTCTTTGATGTTGTCCTTATTTAGGTTGGAATGGGCTGGATCGGAGCTGTAGATGTTTTTGGTTTATCTTTGTATTCAGCTCCAGTGGGGCCCCAAATCTGAGCACCAAGACCATGCATAATAATAGCTCCTCTGCTTGCTAGCCTTGTCTCTGTTGCAGCTCTACCACTTCTCCAAAACAATTCCTGGGAATAGAGAGGAAAACTGTTGGGTCGAGCAATTTATTTGTTGGGGCTCGTTGTGATTCCAACACCTACTGGCAGCTCATGTTGTGATTAAATGGTTGCATGATTTCTTCTTATCTGTGCAAGGTCTCTCCACCTTCAGCCACATGCCCCTGGGTCAGGCGCTTACCCGCATTCATGGCTCTTTGCTCATGTATGATGAACTCCTCACTCTCCAGTATTTAGTTCATTAAAGCTCCTTTGTGTCCTCTGCTTTTCAGTAACGTTACAGGAAAGTATTAGTTTTATTTTTTCCATTTTTAAAATTGCTGTACCAAGGAAGCATGGACTTTTGCAGCCTTCAACATCCTAACTGGAAGTGAAACTCCACCTTGGAGATTAAAAAAAAAATTCCAGTGCCTGAATGCATCCCAGATCAAGTAAATCAGAATCTTTGGAAGTGAGACTCAGGTGTGTAAGTGTTTTCTAAGACTCACCAAATGATTCCAACGTGCAGCCCAGGCCAGTAACCTCTGATTGTGGCTCAGAATGCTGTTAACAACCTCCTTTGTGAGTTAAATAATTGATTTTGAAATCTTCTTTGCACCATTTGCAATTTATGGAAGCCTTCAGACAGTCTTGTCTCTGGGACTACCTATAAAGTGGTGGCTGTTAGAATATTATAATTTGGCAGTTTTCTCTGAGAATATGATATTACTACAACTATTATGATTGTTGTTGTTACCATTATTAGTGGACAGGTCTGAGTCTGAAGGCCCATGAGGCTGGGGGATTGCTAAGGTACGGGGAAGGAGACCTCTTGTTGGATCTGCAAGGCTGTTAATTACTCACATCTCAACACAGGTGGGACCACTGGTAGTGGCCCAGAACCCCAGCACTATAAAGATGATGGATGTGACCAGCAATGAGGTCCCCAGGTTGACGAGGACCACCAAGGAGGCCATCTGGATATAGTTGTCTTCTCCAGCCTTGTAGGAGGAGAAGTTGATGGTGGTGCCCATGCCCAGGCCCAAGGAATAGAGCACATGGCCTCCTGCCTGACACCACAGGTCCAGAGAGGCCCAGGCTGAGAGCTGTGGATGGGGATGAGAGAGAAACGTTTGGGGGTGAGCTTGAGAGTGGACCCATTGGTGAACTGGAAGAAGGATGAGCTGGGGTGGAGAGCAGAGGGATGAGGGGCAGGCTGGGAGCAGAAAGGAAGATGTCGGAGGAGAGTCAGAGAAGGACTGGGGAGTTGGGGGAGGGAGAAGGTTTGGCGTCCCCAGCCTCACCTCTGTGGTCACCATACGTCTGAGGCTGGCAACTGCGCCCTCCAAGAAGAGGCCTCGGATGAGGAAGCAGAGGAGGAGGATGTAGGGGAGGAATACTGTGAAAATCAGGATCTGGCCAGGTGGGTCAGGACAGAAACCAGAAGTCAGGAGAAGTGGGGAGGAGGGGGAGGCAGAGGCAAGCATTAACAGGGAACACAGGTCAGCAGGAGTAGAGAAATGGGGATGAGCCGGGTTAAGGTGGCCTGGGTGGAACATGAGGGAGCTGTAAGAGGATTATTCTAGGGAGACAACAATGTTGTTTGGGGGGACATCCACCAATAAGCTGCTCAGAGGTGAGGGGTGAGACCCCAAGTAAAGATGGTTTTTAAATGGTAGGGCAGTTGGACATTATTACTTCATAGGCCTGGGTTTTATGGTCTGTGCATGAGTTAAGGCTGCATGCGACAACATCACAGGTGAAGGGGGAGGAACAGCAACCGAGAAGAGACTTTGGGAGGAAGTAACACGGTCAATGGGAATTTTAAAGTATTTCTGGTTCTTTTTGCTCTGGGATAGGAGGGTAAGGCCCTCTCTCTCAGTGTGCCCCTACTAAGCCTTTAGTATAATCTGCTTTTGTGTGAGTGGTTTATCTTGGAGGTTGTGGAGAGAATGGTGAGGTGAGCCTCCAGGGACACATAGGGTGACTGTGTGAGTAGATGCAGGGGCCAGAAGCTACAGGTAAAGCTAACCAAAATGACCTGACACACACACTGAAATAAATTTTCCGTGTAAAGAGAATATGATCCAGGTGCCAGGGGCATGCATTGGAAGTATGGACTGGAATAAAATGGGAAACTCTGGAGAGGAACCAGTGGCAATTAGGTCTCTCAGGGATTAACAGGTGCTGTCAACATGCAGGCAGGTGCAGAATGCAAGGCTCGGGCAGAGAGGCTGTGATCTGCTCTAGAAGGTCTCCACTGCTGTGACTTGGGGGTGAGGGATGGTGAAGAGGGAGCTGGGTCAGTACAAGGCCCTCATTCCTGCCATGGGTCGGAGAGGAGCAGTTCTTTGTGAGAGGAGTGGTTGATGCCGCAGCCTGGGGAGATTATAGCACCTTCCTCAGGACCCCTGGATGGTGGAGCCAGGAGTCCTGGCCCCCCTCCTCTTTATCCCCTCCAAGTCTGGGAGACTCTAGGAGTAGGGGAGGGTCACGGGGGATTAGAGAAGAGAGGTCAACAGGAAGGAGTTGGACGGAGTCGGGTGGGAAGCCCGAGAATATTTGGATTTGCGAACATGAAGGGGTAGAGGAGTCCGTGGTCAGGGTGGCTTACCGGCATTGAAGTATTCAGCCCTGTGATCATGGTTAAGAAGAGGAGGCACCAGGCTGCGAAGACGCCCAGGGTGAGGTGCAGGACAAGGGCCTCGACCCCTTCTTCAATGTGGCCCGAGGCACTCAGGGTGGTGTGGTACCAGAAGTACTGGTGGGACACAGTCTGAAGGCAAGAGAGGTCTGGGGGGGACGCAGGTGCTTAGGCACCACCTCACTTGGTATCTTGCCCCTGCTCTTCGCTTCCTCCCCTTGGGCTCTCACTCCCTGTCTCTTGCTCCTTGGCGCCCTTGCCTCCCATGGCCCTGCTGGCCTTCTCTCTCCCTCTCCTCACCAGTGACATTGATGGTCTTCACCAGTGGGCACTGGTTCCAGGGCAGGGAGTTATCAAAGGAGTTGCCCAGGTAGGAAAGGCTCCAGGTGATGATGATGCTGTTATACAAGCTCATCAAGATGCACACCTAGGGGTGGACACGGGGGGCCTGAGGGACAGGATGGACAGAAACGGGGGACCTGGAGACCACAAGGGGTGAGTTGGGATGCCTCTTGGCTGGGCCCCTCATTCACCAATATGCTAGCATATCCTATGCCGCCCAGCCAGGGGATGAGCTGCTTCCAGACCCGGATGTTGTCCACACGCAGCCAATGCCCCATGATCATCTCCATGTACAAGAGGGGAATCCCGAACAAGAGGAGCATGAAGAAGTACATCAGGATAAAGCTGCCTGCAGAAGGGAGCCAGGAGCTGTGCTCAGGCAGCCAGGAGTCCTGGCCCCCCTCCTCTTTATCCCCTACAAGTCTGGGCAAACCTCTAGTTCTTTCCTCCCCCCAGGACCCAGGAGTCTGGGCTCCAAGCCTTAACACTACTTCCTGAAACTCAGGATCCAGGCCCCTGGCCTTACCTCCTCCGTTCCGATGACACAGGTAGGGGAAACGCCATATGCTGCTTAGCCCAATGGAGAGGGCAACCTGAATCAAGATGTTCTTAGTTCTTTTAGTCTGAGCAAAGTAATTTTGGGTCTTGGTGGCCAGAATCTCCTTGCCTGTGAGCTTCCAGGATGGGGAAGAGGAACTTGTGGGTTCTCTGGGAGTCTCTTCCTCTGATAGTTCTTCAAGGGACTCCATGACTTTCTTCTTACAGGCCAATTAACTCCTGAGGGAATCTTGGGGTCGCCAAGAAGAGCAGAATTTAAGGGCTATGTCTCAGATACCAGCCTGTAAATGACAGCAGGGTTTTAGAGCAAACAAAGGGCCAGAATTTAACTCTTGGCCCTTCTCACTGGTTGAACTTTGGGCAAATAACTTCATCTCTCTGAGACTCAGGTTAATTTTTTTTCCCTCATCTTACAAGCATAGATAACTTTCCAAAATATTTAATAACTGTTACAGTGTGAGCACCAATCAGAATGAAGGCCAGCCATAACCACTGGAGTGTCAGTTTAACATCAGCCCCGTCAGCCCTGTTTGATAGGATTAAAAATGACGTAACGAGGACGCCTGGGTGGCTCAGTTGGTTAAGCGACTGCCTTCGGCTCAGGTCATGATCCTGGAGTCCCGGGATCGAGTCCCACATCGGGCTCCCTACTCAGCAGGGAGTCTGCTTCTCCCTCTGACCGTCTCCCCTCTCATGCTCTCTCTCTCTCTCTCATTCTCTCTCAAATAAATGAATAAAAATCTTAAAAAAAAAATAAAAATGATGTAACGGGAGTGCCAAGGACACAGCAAACACTCCAGCACTCAGGTTCCTTTCCTTTGTCCTTCTGGTCTACTTGGCCCAGCTAATGCACACAAAGCAAACCTATCACAACCATGGAGCTCTCAAAACACACAGACTCCTCCTGCCTTTGATTCTGCCAGCCTCACTCTTCCAGACTCTGATTCAGGAGATCTAAGGTGGCATCTAGAGGATTGGTAGAATTCGAAAGCTTACTTGGGGTTCGATTTCTGGAAAGGCAGCATGAGGGCTCTGTGGACCCATTCCTTAGTGAAACAAGCAAAACTTGTGACCATTGCAAAGAAAGGAACATTTAAGGTCTTTGGAAATTGTCCTAAGGGCATGCAGCCAATGAAGAAACATTTATTCAAGAAAATCTAGTAAAACTCTCTGAGAACAGTGAGAGTCAGTGGCATTGGACCCACAGCCTGCTCCCTCCCTCCTTATTCCTGGCCTAGTGCTATGGAAACTGCACAGGGTTCCCACTCTCCCCAAATCCCACTCAGAGGCTAGGGAATCTTCCCAGGAGGGGCAGACCACCAGCATTTCGCATTCCTTTACAGTGACGTGTTACAGACACTAAATTCCAGACATGTGTGGTATAAGTAAAGGTCAGAAGCCCCCTTCCTCCACTCCGCCCTCATTTCTGGCATGGAATACTGGGGCCCTAGTTTCCCCCGACCCCAGCTCATTGGTGAGTGGAGGTTATAATGCTAGGAGGGGCAAGTCAGTAAGACCAGAGGCTAATGCTCCACATAGCATCCTGCTCCAAAAGCACTCAGAGAGAAGCAGGTCACTGTTCCCATCCAGCTCTGAAGATCTTGTCCTGGGAGAGAGGCCTTCGGAACACATGGGCCCAGAAGCGCTTCCCGGAAGAACCGACTTTATTTGAAGCAGAGTGTGAGGAAGTTGAATCCTAAGGGCACCCTCAAATTCAGTGGAGGTTTTGGTGGTAGCAATTAAGAGGAGGCTGGTAACTTCATGAAGATGCAATGAAGACAAAGTTTTGTCACCAGAAGGCCCTGCACCAAAGGAAATACTACTTGGGCCTACTTGGGGATTCCTCTGTAAGAAGGGACGTTATCCTAGATGGAAGGTCGGACATGCAGAAAGGAATTGAGAGAAATGAAAACGTAAATCTGTGGATAAAATGGAGACTGCACAGAAACAGTAACAGTAACATCTTATTGGGTTTTAATTAAGTGAAGAATAAGAATTACATGACATCAAAGATTTGGAGGGCGGCAAATTGACCTGAATTGTTGTAAGCACTTTGTGTTGTCTAAGAAGAGGATAAATGTAAAGTGGGGACGCAAGCCCCTGCAGACCCCACAATTTAGACATAGGGCTCCGAGCGGCTTCTGACCAGAGTCACGGGGCCCTTAGTTACTGTTAAAGGAACTTGTAAAATTGCCTCAGGAAATACCATCAAGTTGCCTCTTGAAAAGTCTGTGGGGTGGGGCACCTGGGTGGCTTAGTTGTTAAGCGTCTGCCTTTGGCTCAGGTCATGATCCCAGGGTCCTGGGATCGAGCCCCGCATCGGGCTACCCGCTCAGCGGGAAGACTGCTTCTCCCTCTCCCACTCCCCCTGCTTGTGTTCCTCTCTCACTGTGTCTCTGTCAAATAAATAAATAAAATCTTAAAAAAAAAAAAGTCTGTGGGGTGCTGTTCTGCCTGAGATAACAAATCTCATGTGCAGTGTTTGCAAGAAAACATAATAATTTGCAGCTTAGCAGTAGCCACAGGATGTAGAACTTCTGCCTCTGTACTCTAGAGATGATGTCACTAATGCAGTCTGCCCAGAGCCGTTTCCAGTTCCGGGGCCCTAAAACAGAGCGACTATTGCACAACAGCTACACCGAAACCAGAGAGGAACAAGCCAGAGGGACGGGATGGTCAAGAAAGGGAATGGAGCTCACCCAATCTTTAATTAATCATCATGATCCAAGACCCTGAAACCCTTACCCTTTAAAAACCCCTCCTTGCAAGCCACTGGGGAGTTCGGGACTTTTCACCATTAGCTCCTGGTTCTCCTGGGTGGCACCACACCAGTAAATCTTTCCCCACTGCAAAAGCTTGGTGCCAGTTTTTATTGACTTGCTTAGCATTGGGTGGGCAAACTCTTGTTTGGTTCGCTTACGGTACCAATAAACATTATTTGATAAAATATATGCATATTTACTATCTAGGGGAACCATTAAAAGAATAACAAAAAAGTATAATTTCTAAGCTATAAGAGAGAAAAAATAGACTAATAAAAGCAAGCAATGCATGCAGAATGCAAGGAGAAAAAGTAATATAGAGTAGATAGACAGGTACAAAAATACCTCATTAAATGATTTAAACCTGAACATATCAGGATTTGTGTTAAAGGTAAATGGACTGAATGCTCCAATTAAAAGATGAGTTTTCAGACTTCATAAAAAACCAAAATCAGACTAAATTCTGTCTACAAGAGACATCTAAAATGTAAGAATTTGGAATAGTTCAAAGTAAAGAACATGAAAAATAGTATTCCATGAAAACTCTACCCAAAAGAAAGCTTGTATAGCTTTACTAATATATTAATATGTAACTTTTAAACATTAAATTATAATACTAATGTTTATATATACTTAATGTTTATAAATATATTAACATGTATTTAATATTTAAAGTAAAGTTTCCAGAGATAAAGAGGGAAATTTAATAATGATAAGAAGTTTCATTTGCTGGGAAGACATATGAATTCTAAAATGTTATGCATCTCTTAATATGACCTCAAAATGTAGGAAATGGATAGAATCTACTTATCTTAGACATAACAGATAAAGAGCAAAAATTCATTAAGGATATGGAAGATCTGAACAACTTAATTAGTACATTTGACCTAATGAATATATATGGATATGCACACACACATAACTATATTCAACAACTGCAGAATACATATTTTTAAGACAGGCTAAACAGGGGCGCCTGGGTGGCTCAGTCTGTTAAGTGTCTGCCTTTGGGTCAGGTCATGATTCCGGGGTCCTGGGATGGATCCCCGTGTCGGGCTCCCTGCTCAGTGGGGAGTCTGCTTCTCCATCTCCCTTTGCCCCTCCCTCCTGCTTATGCTTCCTCTCTCTCTCTGTCAAATAAATAAATAAAATCTTTTAAAAAATAATATGCTAAACAATTACAAAAAATCAACCATATTTTCCATAAAACAAATCTCAAAATTTCAAAGAATCACAGTTGCATAGTGTATCCTTCTGACTACATTAATTAAGCTAGAAATTAATAATAAAAATTAGTTTTAAAGTTCCCATGTTTGGATATTAAAAACTACATTTTAAAATAACCAATGATTAAAGAATCGGTTATAATGGACATCAGAAAATATTTTGAATAGAACGATAATGAAAACGTGGTGGGGGGGCCCCTGGCTGGCTCAGTCAGTGGAGTGAGCAACTCTTGATCTGGGGTCATGAATGTGAGGCCCACATTGGGTGTAGAGATTGCTAAAATAAATAAATAAATAAATAAATAAATAAACAAACTTAAAAAAAACCAGAATGCAGCTAAAGCCAAATATTAGAAATTTTAAAAACATGAAAATTAATAAGCTAAGATTCCATCCCTAGAAATTAGAAAATAATAGCAAAATAAACCCAAAAAGGAAGAAGGCAGGGAATAATAAAGTTAAGAGGAGAAATTAGTAAGATGGAGGACAACATAGAATAGAAAAGATCAACAAAATCAAAGGTTGGTTCTTTCTTTTTTTAAGATTTAATTTATTTGAGAGAGAGAGTGTATGAGCAGGGGGAGGGGCAGAGGGAGAGGCAGAGAATCTCAAGGAGACTCCATGCTGAGTACAAAGCCCTATGTGGGGCTTGATCCCATGACCCTGAGATCATGACTTGAGCTAAAACCAAGAGTCAAATGCTTAACTGACTGAGCCACCCAGGCGCCCCAAAGGTTGGTTCTTTAAAGAGACAAATGAATTTGATAAAAATCTCTATTAAGACTTGCCAAGAGGGCGCCTGGGTGGCTCAGTTGGCTAAGCGACTGCCTTCGGCTCAGGTCATGATCCTGGAGTCACTGGATCGAGTCTCGCATCGGGATCTCAGCTCCGCGGGGAGTCTGCTTCTCCCTCTGACCCTCCCCCCTCTCATGTGCTCTCTCTCTCAAATAAATAAAATCTTAAAAAAAAAAAGACTTGCCAAAAAATAAAGAGAGAAAGCACAAACAACCAGTGTTGGAATAAAAAAGCAGCATCCTTATAAATCCTGTAGTTATTGAAAATATAATCAAACACTACAATAAAGAATTTTATGCCAGTAAGTTTTTGGAAAAATAATATTTAATAACT